ATGGAGTAGAAGGGATTGCCGCGTGGCCATCCCCCCTAGGGGGTGATTTCTCACTTTCTGTCTCTGTCTCTGTCTGGCGAGCACACGCGCCCTATGGCAAAAACCTCTCCAAAAAAAAGAAAAAAAAAAAAAAGGGGCCCTGAGTATAGTCAGTTCTTAAGAGAACCTCCTAACATCTCCAGAGTGAATGGCAGAGCTGTAAACACACAACTGAGTAATTGATAACTGTTACAGATGATGATAGCCTTAAGACCTGTCACCTTAGCTTCACCATTCAGAGGGAGTGAAATACACACTTCATATTTATTTATTTATTTATTTATTTATTTATTGAGGAATTATTTATTTAATTTTATTTATTCAGTCATTTATTTTAATTTGACCATAGAGAGACAAAAAGAGAGAGAGAGGTGGAAATTGAGAAAGTAAGCCGCCAGGTCCAGGACTTGAACCGCGGTCAGCTATGTGGTAGCTCCCAGCACCTTAACCACCATGCCACCTGCTGATCCCTTATTTATTTATTTTTAAAGGAGATTTTTGCGATAGGGCACAAGCATTCATGAATAGACAAAGAAACAGAAAGTGAGAAATCAACCCCAGGGGGATGACCATGCCACAATCCTCTCTCCTTCATTCTCCTATCTGGACTTTGGGCACACACGGCTGTGCCCAGCATGAGTTTTAAGCCACTGGACAGGACTCAAACTGCATTCGAGTACGTGGGAGTCCAGCAACGTAACCATCACACCATCTGCTGGTCCCCTGAAATACACACGCTTCATATGGTGTCCTTTTGATTTTTTTTTCTGCCATGCATTCTTATTAAGAATTGGCAGTTCTCTGTGTTTTTCCCTTGAGTTCTAACCATGTTGTACCCTAGCCCTTTTAACAATGTCATAGATTCACTTTTGAAGCTCAATACCATCTTTCATTGATCTGTTTCTTCCACTGGTCCTCATTATATGCCATCATAGCCCTCATATGTATGTGACAAAAACTGATTTTTATCCACTGATATTCATGGTATAGTTGGAAGCTTTCCATGTACTTGGTTCTTATCTGGAACCCAAAATGACTGCCTGAAAGAATGCCAAAACCTGACAGGTTCCAGAATCTTAGCTCCTGTTCTATCATCCACTTACTTACAGGTTTTAACTTCCCCTTTTGTCATCTTTAGCTCACAGTTAAGTCGCTTGAATATGTTTTTCCTGCATTTTAATTTAAAAGCAAGAATTTGTGAATACTGTCTTAGGTTTTAGACTTAATATTACTACTTCCCTTTATGTAATAATCACATAATACCTATTCCTAAAGTGCTCAGTTTTCCTCAAAGAGAAAAAAATGAACATGTGCCAAGTGCCTGTTCGATGCAGGAACCATGTGCTGGACTTCCAGTGTATTATTTTTGCAACGCATACACGGGCCATGTTCTTCCCAGTTTATTGATGAGGAAGCTATGACTCAAAATAGCAGACACCTACCTAGCCAAGGTCACACAGGCTGCGAAGTGGTCTGGCTGGGATCTGAAACCTGTCAGTTTAACCACAGATAGGCTCCCTGATCAACCACCTGCCACTGCTTGCCTGACCTCATCTAGTTGTGATGACATCCTTTCTACAGGGTTGTTGAGAGGCTATGTGAGGTTCTGTTCATGAAAATGTACTAAAACTATAAAGTACTATGAAGTACTATTTAAAATGTAAACATACACACATATGCACCTGTGTGTGGACAGTGGACCCTTGAACAACATAGGCTTGAACTGCCTGAGTCTCATCTATAGGGATTTTTTTTCAGTAAGTGCATTGGAAAATTTGGTACAGTACTATAAATGTATTTTATCTTCCTTATGATTCTCTTAACATTTTCTTTTCTTCATTATAAGAATATAGTATATAATTCATATACAAAATGTGTGTTTATCAACTGTTTATGTTATTGGTAAGGCTTCTGGTCAACAGTAGGCTATAGTTAACTTTTGGGGATTATATATAGATTTCCAGCTCTTGGGGATGTCCATGTCCCCTAACCCCCAAGTTATTTAAGGGTGTACACACACACACACACACGCACACATATTAAATTAATTGAGGAATGATTATAGAATTAGCCTTTCAAATCTTTAAACATTGTTCTCGTTTTCCATAAACTGAATATACAAACAACTGGTTGGTTCTTAAAAATAGATGTAAAGTGACAAGATTGACTGATCTGGAATTGGAGCATCTTTAGAACAGAAGCCAGACAAATTCTTGCTTCCCTGACACATTGCTGCTCTGTTCAACTCACTCCAGGACCTTTCAACTTCTCTGTAAAACTCTGGCCCAAAGCAGCTTCTCTACATTAGTCACAAGTTCCCATTAGTCAGGGGTGGCTTGTGCCAGACCTACAGCAGAGTCATTTCAGGCTATGCTCTTCTGTTATAGGTTTTCAATATGTACTCAGTCTGCTCACACAAATCCAGGAGGGAGTCAGTGCCTCGTAATAAGGAAGCATCCAGAAATTCTTTCTTGCTAGTGTCCGTAGAACAATGTGAAACCCTGTGGCCTGTTCTGAGAATTGGGGTGGTGGGAATGCTGGTAGCTAACTGAGCCTCTTAGAGGGGCAGGTAGTTGACAAGGTGCAGGGAACTTCATTTGAGGACAGAATTCAGTGAGAGCGTTTGAGTTTACTTGCTTGAATACTTAAGGTAACATTTATAGAACACATTCTCATCCTACAATTAATATCTTTTATTCCTAAACAGAACAAAAAATGACGTTGCTTGATAAATATACATTTCTAAAACAAATTATTTTGCTCTGTGAATTTGTCTAAGCATATTGGTAATTGCGATTTAATACTCTTACTGGTGGAAGTAAAAACATGCAATAATAAATAATGACAGACACCAGTCTGTGTGTATTTTTAAATAGTCCATCCCTTTCAGAGAACAAATAAAAGTTCAGAGAGAGTAGTATTGTATTTTTTTTTTGTGAACATTCTTGTACAGGTAGAGTTCCAAAATCGACAGGTTGCTTCTCTCCATGTTTTCGAAGCTCTGCGTGAGAGTACATAACCAGATAAGGAGTGGACAGTCCCTAGCCATCAGCAGAAGGCGAGACATTCATTTTAGCTATAAAACACTAAACTCAGCATGTGAGAGGAACACTCCTTAGGAGGCTACAACATTGGAGACCACTGTATTCTCTAACGTGAAATGCAATCGTTAATTTTTCTTCCAGCATCAAACTGGTCATCATTTCATTGGTTTATAAAAGTATGTAAATAAGTAGTAACTATGGCAGTAGGCTATGAATTAGTGAATATGAGTAAAAGGTATATATCCCATTGTACAACTTTGTCAAATTTTCTGAAAGTTTGAAAAATTTCAAAACAGACTGTAGATCTTTTAAACACAAGCAAATGCTGTATCTGTGCTATATTGTGGTGAGAAGTCTGCAGAATGAAAAATGAAACCTAGTAAGAGAAGCAGATGCATGTTTTTCATCTTTCTCTTCAGGGCCTATTTTCATTAAGTAGAGAAGGTAGACAAGTCCTAATGCTTTTTCCAATCTTAATGCAAGGCAGACAGGAACGTTGTAGAAAGTACTGTTTCTGGATCAGTCTCTATTAGGTCATAAGAAATGGTGCATTTCAGCTAGGATGACCTTGGGGAAAAGAGTTATAGGACCAAACTCTAAGTTTTCTTTTTTTTTTTTTTAATGCTTATCCTAGTAGAGGACATGGGTAGAATTGTAATGAGATGTAATAGAATTTAGGAAGATGTTTGCACAGGATCTTAAAAATGGGGAGGGGGGGTGTCTGATATCCTAAACAATTAAAGGAGTAGGGGATGTCTGTTAAAAGTGATATCTCTTGATCATAGTGGTAGTTCCATGCCTATCCATTTAATAAAACTCAGAATTTGAACACTTAGAAAATGGTGAATGTTATTGTCTGTATCACCTTAATAAAGATGACTATAAAAATAAGTAAATCCTAAGGAACTAAAATTATAAATGCTAAGTGAAACCTACCATTCTGTTTTACAGAACATTGGAGAACAAATAACCACCTTCTAACTTTTGTGTAGAAGAATATAACAATATTTGAATATATTTAGGTAGGGTATTTCAGTGCTTGCTACTCTTTGAAGCCAGGATTCAGTGCGAACATGTTGATGTGGGGAGAAGCGCTAAGAGAACTGTAGTTTGATATTCCTTTGATAGTCATAACAGTTCAATTGTCACACTGTTTTTGTCCTCTTTAGCCCTGGAATGAGACCCGATGTCAGTTCTCCTCCATCTAACTCCTCTACAGCAGTGGGACCACCTCCCAAACTCTGCCTGGTATGCTCTGATGAAGCTTCAGGATGTCACTATGGGGTCTTGACTTGTGGAAGCTGTAAAGTATTCTTCAAAAGAGCTGTGGAAGGTAGTGTGTGTTTTGAAGAGTTTTATTTTTCTTCTATATGTTTCCTACTTTTCAATAATTTGTGGATTTTCCATTATATGCAAAGCCCATGAAGGCCAGACATTGATAAAGGGAGAAGCAGGTGGTTCCTAGGTCCTCCAGTAGGAAAAAAATATTAAAAAATACAAAATACAAGCAGAACCAGCATAAAATAGGAAAAAATAAATAACAGTAGAGAGTTTTGTCAGAGAGCAGACGGTAATACTGTAAGAAAGGTCTGTCATGTGAAATGATGGTGTCAAGTTTAGGCAGTAAGACCATGCTCAGTGTATTAGAATTCTGGGCCGCAGCTCCCATGCACTAGGTGGTTTCAAAACCACCAGCTATACTAGTCTGGCAAAAATGAATGACAGTGAGGACTCTTGAGGGGGGGATATAAAAAAAGACCTTCATTTTACTGTTTTGCTTGTTTGTTTTTCCCTATTTATCCAGGGCACAATACTAAGTGGTATAAATACCATTAATAACTGATTCCTGCCCTCAGGGAGGACACATTGTAGTAAAGGATGAGTTAACCATGAAAAGGTATAGAAATTGTAATACATCGTAAACATTGCCTGAGGAGATCAAGAAAGCAAGCATTGTAGAGAAAGCAGTTTCACTATATGAATGTTGTTCTGGCTTGTTCTTACCATAGTTACAGATTCGGATTACTGACAGAGGCAGTAGCATTATTTTCCTAAAGAAGGAGAGATGCACTCCAAATTATTATCGGAAGAAACTAATTTTTTTCTAATATAGCAGTGAATGCTCTTTGGGAAAAAAAAATAGTTCTATAGTTTCATTATTTGTAAAGCAGTTTGAAGACAATGTGGCTCGAATGGATTACCTAAAGCTCTTGATTTTATTTTTAAAGAAATGTAAGTATCCATTCATCATATAACCATTTTTATTATTTGGCTAGAGGTTTGCTTGCATATCCTTGAAAGTTAAATGAGTCATTTTGTTTGGTTTGGATAACTTTTTGATAGGTTAGCAAACTATAAAATTACCCATGGTACCCCACATAGACCACAAGGATGCAAGTTTTGGCAAGAATGTAGCTGCTCCCACCTATTGAGTAGAGTCCTAAGTAAAGCCTACCTCTGCTTAGTGCCAAGGCGCCCAACAAAGTGGATGTTATCTGACACATACCCAAAAGAACAAAGCTTCTTCTTGTGCTTACTTTACCTTATTCAGCATGTTAAGAATTTCCATGGTACAAATATAATAATGATAGCAATATAGCACGCTATATATATATTGACAAATTGAGTTTTAAAAGTGAAATGCAAGATACAATGAGAACTTAAAAAAAAATAGATATTAAAAAATATTTGTGGGGCATCAGTAGATGGTGTAATGGTTATGTTGCTGGACTTCCACATAGTCGACCATCGTTTGTGTCCCAAAGCTAAATGGTTATGTCGCTGGACTTCCACATAGTCGACCACCGTTTGAACTCACGTGGGGCACGTGTGCATTCATGTCCCGAATCCCAAGAGGAGAATGGAGGAGAAGGGATTGCGGCGTGACCATCCCTCCTGGGGGATGATTTCTCACTTTCTGTCTCTATGTCTCTCTCTGTCTGTCTGGCGAGCACACACGCCCTATAGCGAAAAACCTCTCAAAAAAAAAAAAAAATGTGAAATGATGGTGTTAAGTTTAGGCAGTAAGACCATGCTCAGTGTCTATCTAAAAATCTATTTATGGAGGAGAAGGGATTGCGGCGTGACCATCCCTCCTGGGGGATGATTTCTCACTTTCTGTCTCTATGTCTCTCTCTGTCTGTCTGGCGAGCACACACGCCCTATAGCGAAAAACCTCTCAAAAAAAAAAAAAAATGTGAAATGATGGTGTTAAGTTTAGGCAGTAAGACCATGCTCAGTGTCTATCTAAAAATCTATCTAAAAAATCTATCTAAAAAAAATCTATCTAAAAAAAGAAAGAAAAAATATTTTTCACTTTCCTCCATTTTAACTAAAATTGTTCATTAAAACAGGGCCAGCTCCATGGTCTAGTGGTGAAGGCAGCTGGATTCCCTTGGCTGATTGCTTGGTTCAGGTCCCAGCTAACGCAGCTTGAAAACTCTGCTGGGCACATATGTGTGCATGCCCAAAATCTCAAAAGAAAGGAAAAATGGAGAAGGAATTGCTGTGTGATCATTCCCCATGGGGAGTGCCTTCTCCCATCCTTCTTTCTTTGTCATGTGCACATTTCCTCTAGCAAAATAAATAAACAAACAACAACAAAAATAGGGCTGTGAATTCAAATGTCAAAAGGGAACAACTATGTATCTTTGTAGCCAAATGGGAGAAGGGTGGCAGGTATTGAGAACATGCCATACCTAAAGTATCCAAATGTAATTAAAACAGAAAAAGCTAAGTATCCTCCCAAATACTGACAGCACCATAGGCCATGGTCCCTCTATGCTTAATCCTGGCTTAAAATTAGATTCTTAGACTTGTGTTTAGGTAAAATTTAATTTGATATTAGCTATACTATTTCAAGATGTTTATCATGTATTTTCGTAAAGTATGATATTAGATTGCATGATTGATAAGAAAAGTTTAAATGTGGGTATTATTAAGTAAATTACTTTGCTCTGTTTTCTCCTGTATTTGGATTTTAATGTTCTCAAAGGCTCTTTCTATCTCAAAATTCTGTAGTCCTTTGATAGCCTAACTCAACAGCAGTTCTTCTGTTTTTACTATCTGTATTCAGTGGAAATAGGCTTTAAAGCCTAGATATATATTTTGGAACATTTCTTTTAAAAGTTATAAAAATGTGGTTTGTATCATTTGCATAATACACCTAGCACTCCATTTTAATGCCAGCTAGTACTTGTTGCTTATTCTTCAAAATTGGCGTAGTTACAATAAATACCCGACAGCTAGCTATTCTTTTCTTTTGTTTTTTGTTTTTTTGTTTTTGGTTTTTGGTTTTTTTTTTTTGCTATAGGGCGCGTGCGCTCTCCAGAAATACAGAAAAAGACGGGTAGAAAACAAGAAATCACCCCCCAGGGGGGATGGCCACGCCGCAATCCCTTCTCCTCCGTTCTCCTCTTGGGATCTTGGGCACGCACACACATGTGCCCGGCATGAATTTAAGTTCTGGTCCAGGACTCAAACTGTGGTCATCTACATGGAAGTTCAGTGACATAGCCATTACGCTAACTGCTGGTCCCGACAGTTAGCTATTCTTAGGAAGTGTGCAGAAGTTTTACTTATGGTCTATGCAACCCAGATCAAGGATAGATGTTTAGCATTTTTAAAATTTAACATACTGAGAGTTGCTTGTCTGTGTACAGAAAGAATTGTGGTAGTCCCTTTACTTCTGTGTATGCTAGATCAGTAATCATTCTTTTTATTTTAGCATTTTTAAAATTTAACATACTGAGAGTTGCTTGTCTGTGTACAGAAAGAATTGTGGTAGTCCCTTTTTATTTTTATTTCCCCTTAGGAAGGACACGTCTACCCTTTGTTAGCAGTACATAAGATAGATAGGCATCATTATCCTTAATTTACCCTGTGCCAAGAACTGGTTTGTTTGTTTGTTTCATATTATTTCATTTATTGCCCTGTGAGGTTTGGGTTGCTATTTTCTAAAGTTTGTTTGTTTCCTTCTTCTGAGAGAAATGTCAGGGAGCAACTCACCCACAGTCCACTGTCAGTCTTAACCAGGAAGAATCGTGGGCATGTACACACACCCAGAGACCTCACGATGTGAGCCGGGACCTACCATGTGGTCCAGCATTGTGAGGCATTGGGTTACTGCTGTGTGACCCGGGCTGGCCTCTTAGAACTATTAGAATCTGTGCTTGCTATCCTAGAAAACTGAGCCACAGAGAGTTTAAGTGGCAAGGCTGGAATTCAAACACAGCTGTGTCCAAAACACGCTTTTAATGTTTATACTACACGGACTTCCTAAGAAGTGTCATATGTTAAAGTCACCACCTGGCAGGTTGTAATCTAGTTAGGCGCTGAGATAAAAGCCATCACAGGTGGCCTAGCGACAGCAGCATGCACTAATTCCCTGTGCTCTTCAGGCTGGGACCACATTGGAGGCTCTGAAGGCAGATAGGATGGCACAACTTGTAATCCCAGCAGTACGGGAGGTAAGGCAAAAGAAGCATAATACGGCAAGAACCTTTCTTTAAAGAAAGAGAATAATCACAAAGAAATTCACAGATAGCAAACACTGAGTGCTTACAGTATGCTAGGAGTAAGGACCACCTAGCTAACTACCTCTTACCCTTACAGAAGCCCAGCAAATAGGCGCTGATTTTCCAGCTTCACATATATAGAAACAGAGACGCAGAGAAGTTAATAAACATTATTGAGATGAACACTTAGAAAGCAGAATTGGGATTGAGATCAGGGGTTTCCTGGCATCCTGCCAGTTCACTTTCCACTATACTACCCAGCAGTCGAGAGCAGATGAAGGAAGAAGCTCAAGTTGATAGTCACAGATCACATTTACTCTTCAGATTCTTCAAGTGGGGTCGATTAAGGGCCTTCCAAAAGGTTATGAAAATGTACTATGAAAAAAAAATTCCATGTGCAGATTTTTAAAATTTTGTACCAGAATAAACTTGTTCTTTACCATGAACCTTTTGAGAGTGCCCTCGCACAGCCTGAATTTTCTTAATACGTTTTGCTGTGTTGCCCATTTCCTGTACTACTGTGATGATTGTTCATGTCCATGCATCAGTTGTTCTACTCACTACGTTTTTCTTGGTTTACTAAAAAGAAGAAGAAGAAGAAGAAGAAGAAGAAGAAGAAACAGAAAACAAACTTTCTCTAATGTATCATAATCTACTTGTATATAAAAATTAGTGGCTTAAAGCAACAAATATCTATTATGCTATTATGTCATACAGTTTCTAAGAGTCATGAATCTGGAAGCAACTTAGCTGGGTGGTTCTAGGACTCTCAAGAGGTTACATTTCAGGCTCATGGTGGGGGCTGCAGACTTGCAAATGCTTAACTGGAGCTGGAATATCCACTTTCAGGCTTATTCACAAGACTTTTAGCAGGAAGTATCAGTTTCTCATTATGTTGGCCTTCTCTAGGGCTGCTCCCAGCATAGCAGCTGACTTCCTCCAAGACATAGGAGCCAAAAAAGAACGAAGCAGTGTGGAACCTAACAACTTTCATAACCTAATCTCAGCTGTGACATGCCATCACTTCTGCCATATTTTACTGGTCACAGAGACCAATCCTGGAATAGGAAGGGCTGACTTAAGAGTGCAGACACCAGGAGGCAGATTACTGGGAGCCCTTCTGCAGGCTGGCTACCAGCTCTATCAAATAAAAAACCAAAATCAGTTCCCAAAAATAGATTTATTTTTAATTTTTTAAACTTATTTATTTTATTATTATTCATACATTAAAATGCTATACATCATTTAATTTGTGAAGAAACTTCACCAGCATGATACACACCTCAGTCCAGCCCAGTTGAGACCACCATACACATCCCTGTCAACAGATAATAAACCTTATCTGTGTCCCACAAGTGTCAAAAATAGATTTTTAATCATAAAAATAAATATGATGTAAACAAAACATAAGAAATTTCAGCTGTCTTAAAGGCACTTTACCTGACATGTCTCTATTACTTAGAAAGGGAATGTACCAAGTGTTCGATGACATAGGAACTCCAAAATACGATGTTCACTCTTTTATCAAAAAGACTGACAGAGAGTGACAGTGGTACATGGCAGTGCCTTGTGAAATGGAGAATTCTAGTTGAAACTCCTTCTTTTATAGATAAGGAACTACTTGCTCAACTTCACATTAATAACCAGCTAGCAGTAATATTAACTTGTGAAAGTACATTGCCCCTGATATTAGAGCTCCAATTCTTAGTTGTGCTCAAGACACACCTGGGCGAAAGAAGTCAATTATTAGCATAATATGCACATTCTGATAGTTCAGATGAACTAAATAAAGATTTGAAATGTTTTATGTTTGGGGGAATAGATCATGTTTTTATATGGTTTTCTTCTAGTAAATGAAGGCGATGATACAGGGATTTCTTACTGGCTAAAACATCTTTGCACTGTAACTTCTTCAGTTATGAACACATTTGTTGTTCCCACTATTGCTTTATAAAGAATAGAACTATTGGGTTAATGATTCCATTTTGTGTCCAAGAAGCTAGGAAACTTACAGAATACAGACAGGAGTTGAAACAGCTGGCACAGAAACATCTGGCATTGGACAGCAGCTCTGGAATAAAGCTGAACTGTTGTCTGTTAGTCAGCTTTGTGGCCTATTCTTCACAAACAAATACAGTTAAGCATTTACCTGAAACTAATACTTAAAGAGTATTGTGATTTATACTAGGAGGAAGTGGATGTAGTTTGTTATCAGCCCAATCAAGTGGTAGGTTATCCTAGGCAGAAATTAGAACCAGGTATATTCGACCTAGTGAATTGGTCATTAGGATTCTCTTTTCTTTGATTTATTCTTGAGAAATGTCATACAGTCTTGTGAAGACCATCCCTTTAATGTTAGGTAAATTCTTACTTACTGTATCTATGTAGACATTCTGGTCTTGGTGGGAAACTTCCAGTTTTTGCCAGGCAAATTGAAATAAATAAATAACTAGACAGGCAGATTCTCTAAGTTTTTGTCATCACCCAATCACCAGATTAAAAGAAGACCTCAGGGCCAGCAGGTGGCAGAATGGTTAAGGCACTAGATTCCCACATGGCTGACCATGGTTCGTGTTCCAGACCTGTTGGCTTCCTTTTCCTCCCTTTTTCTCTCTCTGGTGAGCACATATGCCCTATAGCAAATAGGGAAAATAATAATAAAAAAAATAAGTGTTTTAAAATGTTGCCACTTTAATAGAAAAAATAGTATTGTTGTTAACAACCCAAAGAAAAAGAAACCTTCAAGGATATGCATTTAGGGGATGGGAGTAGAGGTGTACAGAAACATTTAGTATTTTCTCTTTAAATTTTCCTTATACGTTTTTTGCCAGGAGAGAATGGCAGTTCTACTTTCTAATACATTATTTAACACTGAGTGCAAGAAGATTTTAAGCAGTAAGTCTTTAAATTAATATTTGAGGTCAAAGGTGAAGTCAGACATCCTTATTTTCCAACAGCATATGATATCTCTCTAAGATACAGTAATTTAGTTTGCAAAATCTGTGATTCACCTAATTATATGCTGGTAACCTCAACATTCAAGATTAAATATTGATGTTTACCTATTACTTCATTTGAAATTAGGGCACAGTTTCTTTGCGTATGGTGGAATAGGGTTGAATTATAGTCATTTTCCCTTTGAGACTCCTACAGTAATTTTAAGCCAGTTTCCTCTTTCATTAGCTCTCTTTAGCATTAAGTCAGAAGCCATAGTAAAATATAGATATTTACTATAATACGATTATAGACGCCAAATGTAGTTATTAAAAGAAGAACTATTGAAATCGGTTTATCAAAAAAGTGATTACCCTTGATTGGTAGGAACTGGAATTAGGCATGGAAGGGGGGGATGTGGGGTGGTGTTCATTTCTTATTCTGAGAGCGGATCAAAGGAGATACTCAGCTCGTGAAAGTTACATATGTATACAGTAGTAAAGCTTCTTAGGCTTCTTTATGAATTATTTTCAATTTGCAGAGGAGGAGAATAAGAGGCATTTTTTTTTTTAAGTTGACCTTTCAACTTTTTAATGGCAGTGTAGGCAAGTACACTGGAACCTTCCTTAATCAGTGGCTTCGCTCAGTTCCACCTGAAACAAAAACAGAAAGAGACACTATTAAAAAATGAAAGAAATCCATCCATCAATCAATACGTTAAAACCTGTGAAATTTTAACAGCATCTTCTATTCCATACAGGGCAGCACAATTACCTTTGCGCTGGAAGGAATGACTGTATCATTGATAAAATTCGAAGGAAAAACTGCCCAGCGTGCCGCTATCGAAAATGTCTTCAAGCCGGAATGAACCTGGAAGGTAATGCATATACCCGAAAAGAACTGTCTGTGTCATATAAAAATTTATTTTGCATTTTAAGATAAAGTAAGCAGATAAAATAATTTAGTTAATTCAGCATGTATGTGCTTAATTAACATAGTTTTATATTAGTGCCCAATAAAAATAGGATTTTTTTTTAATGAACGTCATATTCTGTTTAAATTTATTCACTAGCTCATACTGTGCACACTGGCTTCTAGAGGCAGACACATGCTAGGAAAGGAAAGTAATAATGAAAATTTTATAACTGGAAGCAACTTTCTGTTTTTTCTTAATTCTGTTAGCCTCAAAACTATTTCCTAGGGTTAGAAATGCTTCTGGATCAGATAGATTTTTCCTTTACCCTTCAAAAACACACCTTTGACTTGGAGATATATAAATTTATTTTATTATAGATCTGCAGGGGTGGGGGGAAACTTGTAGGAGGCATTGGATGGGTTTTGTTTCGTTTTTCAAGTAAAGGAACCTGAAACTAGTTTCAAGTTAGAGTTTCAAATCTCCATCTATATAACAAGTTGTATAATGAATAATGATCTCTTCATTAAAAACTTTCTCTTGAAAAAATAGTTGAGAATTCTGCTCTGGTTGCAACTGCAAGTGCTGTGGAGGTGGTGGAGGTGATCTAATAACCTACATGGTTAGTATTTGTTGCGACAGTAGCACTTCCATTTCGCAAGATTTCACCAGGGTAGTCACTGGCTAGAAAATCACATAGTGCGTGTATGTAAGGTCAGTTTACCGTCTAGTTCGGTTGAAGAGTCAAGTCACAAAATAGTATGGCATACACAAAAGAACAAAGACGTGGGAACAAGTGGAAGGTCACCTAATTCTGGCCTAGAAGTTAGAGGAGGCCTCCTGGGAAAAGTAACACTGAATTTTAATCTAGGAGGTCAGTAGGAATTAGATTTAAAAAAATAATAAAAAGAGCAGAGATGGGATTAGACCTATATTTTAGAAAGACTAGTACTCTTGTAGAGATACTAATTAAAAAACAATAGTGTTAATCTAGAAGAGGAATGGTGATATTGAGACAAAATAAAAGCCACGTGACTTTTTTTTTGGGGGGGAAGAGTTTTTTGCTACAGGGTGTGTGCGCTCACCAGAAAGAGAGAGACAAAGAGACAGAAAGTGAGAAATCACCCCCAAGGGGGGATGGCCGAACCACAATCCCTTCCCAAAGTGGGGTTGGCCGATCCACAATCCCTGCTCCTCCTTTCTCCTCTTGTGATCTTAGGCACGCACATACACACGCCCGGCGTGAGTTTAAGCCACCGGGTCCGGGATTTGAACCGTGGTCAACTACATGGGAGTCCAGCGACATAGCCATTACACTAACTGCTGGTCCAAAAAGCCACATGACTTTTGAAAGGAAAGGCTATGTAGCATACACTGTGTGTATACAAAGTGGTCTTCAGAAAGTTCATAGAAGATGTGGATTATGGCAAAACTACATGGATTACAAATTTTAATCGAAATAAATTCATATTTCCATTTTTTTTGAAGAATTATTTTTATTCAACTTTATGTATCTTTTTAAATTTATTTCAGTTTGACTTGAGAGAGACAGAGAGAGAGAGAGAGGGAGAAAGAAAGAGAGCAAGTGAGAAAGCAAGCTGCCAGGTCCGGGACTTGAACTACAGTCCATATAGGAGTTCAGTGCCCTTAACTACCACGCCACCTGCCGGCTCCCTTACTTCCATTTTTTAATGAACTTTTTGAAATTCCTTTGTGTTATTAAATAGAAAATGTTTATGATTTTAAAGAGTCCAATTCTTGAGACCAGCAGTTAGCATAATGGCTTTATCACTGGACTCCCATGTAGTCGACTATGGTTTGCATCCTGGAACCAGTGGCTTAAAACTCACGCCGGGCACATGTGCGTGCGTGCCCAAGATCCTGAGAGGAGAATGGAGGAGAAGGGATTGCGGCATGGCCATCCCCCTGGGGGTTGATTTCTCACTTTCTGTCTCTCTGTCTCTGTCTGTCTGTCTGGTGAGCACACACGCCCTATAGCAATAACCTCTCAAAAAAAAAAAAATAAAAGAGTCCAATTCTCCAACCCATACACATACAACTTTATTTAAGAATGACTGAGATGTTTAAACTTGACTGTGGAGTGCTATAACATGTTAAATATTGATTCAAATAAAACAATGGCACCTCACTTCTTGTAGGTATTATGAAAGAGATTAATTGCAAATTCATGCAGAAGTTTACTTTCAATATCACATGGGTAGTTTCTTTTTGGTAGGAAAACAGCATAATTACTCCTCATTTTTACATATCAGATCCCTGCCAAGATTTTACTGTTTCATTTTGCTCTTCTCTAACCTCTTAAGAATGTGGTTTACTTTGACCATTTAAATATATATCAAGGCACTGCAGTTTTTAGAGACGGGTTTATTTGTTTTCTCCAGCCCCAGTATTACCACTTTTCTCTAATCCTCATGTTTTCATCTCAGCTACTTTGCATTTAGAAATAGGTTTTAAATAAAGCTCAGAGGACAAACCCAGAGAAAATTCTGTCATATCACTAATATAGCACGGCTGCGTAGCAGCCCCATTTCTAGGTGCTTTCCTAAATACATACCAAGCTTAAGATCTTTGCAGTTTTACATGTAAAATGCTCCCCTGGGTAAGTGCTCCCTTATACAAAGTATAAGAGAGTTCTTTATTTGAAAGGAATAAGATATATCAACTGTAAAGTAGTGATTCTGAGGGACTGGGTTACCAAGTCTGTCCTGCTACTCCTGCTTCCTACAGTTCAATAGCAATTGCAGTGTCCTTTGCCCTTACCCTACTAGAGGACCACCAAGGCTGTGAGCGGCACCTAATTTTGTTTCCACTTTCAAGTTCTCATGCCATTTCCGGTCAGGTCTTTTGTTCAAAGTCTATCACAATGTTTTTAAATTTCATTTTCTTTTAAAAAATTGTTTGATTGCCAGTGGGGATGAGTACTCACCAGAGATAGAAAGACAGAGAAGGAGAAAGAGCCTCCCTGCCTGCCTATAGGGCTGGTCACACCACAATCCTTTCTCCATTTCTTCATCCTGTTGAGGTTTTGGACTTGCACATGCTCCTGCCATGTTTTTCAAGCTGCAGTGGCCATGATGTGAACCACAGGTGGCCATGTGGGATCTAGCTCCCTTAACTACTAGGCTATAGGACTAGCCTCAGAATATTTTTCTTGAATGAATAAAACTTAAACATACAACTTCATTTGAGCTGCAATTTCTCAAAATTCTTTATTAAAACAAAAAACAAAAAGCAATAGGACTGGCCCCATAGCATGGGTGTTAAGTGCTACACAGAGGAAGCAGATCGAACCAGGGTTTAAGTCCCACCCCAGCAGCTTGAGTGTATTCCCAGGACCCTGGTGGGATGGAGCGTTTGAGGAAAAAGGATTGTGGCATGTCCAGACCACACTGTGAGGTGCATTCTTTCTTTCTCTCGTGTACTCACATGAAAGTTATGCAACTCCCTGGCTTTTTTGTTTAATTGTTTTTATAAGTTGTCAACATAAGATATCAGAACAGTACGGAAATAATGGTGGGGAAACAAGTACTTGACAAGACCCATTACATACTAGTCTTAATATGCATTCTTCTACTCAAGGGAATTATTTTGGACACTCAAATGATTTAAAACACCTTAGAGTGGGTTCAATATTAATCTCATTTCTCATCTTAATATCACTTGGTCGCTCAAAAGCTCTGGTTTGTAATTCCATAATATATTGGGTGTTAGGTGGCACATAGTATGTAGTTGTTAACTAATTCTACTTGAATATAATTGAAAGAAAGGTTTTAAAAAATCTAAGTTCATATGGTGTGTATGTGCGTTTTAGTGTGAAAGCCTCACTTTGATTTGAATTCATCCCATTATGTGTAAAACCTGTATCTGGAAGAGGTGTGAGTATGTGCCAGGAATCGCTGGCAGACTGTACTACTGAAGACGGTACAGATGAGCCATATGTTTCCACACTCCCCCGCCCCCCCAGTCTTTAGAAATATTCCCTAAGCCCTCAGTTTTTATGATAAATCCCAAGTAAACTGTAAAAACAATCAGTTACCTCTCTCACAGCCCAGTTCTCCCCATAAGTGTAACTACGTATAGCACGTTTTATATTTTGGTACTGTTGCCCCATACCAAGTGAAATCTCTCAGGATTTTCTTGTAGGCAGCCTTGTCTACTGCGTAAAATTCCTGGTGTTTTACGTGCAGGCAGGTTTTTTAATGGTAATCCTAAATGTTTTATACACATTTTATTGTAACATGTAATCATTCCAAAGAACTGCTTTATTTTTGGTATAAACAGTCAAATGGAACTAGTAGGCTTATGGCATTATTAGATTTCTTACCTAGTATTTTAAAAGTTTTAAACTAAATAAGGTGCCTTTACCTTTATTAAGGAGGAATGGAGTTCACACAAACTCACGAACACTTCGGTAGAATTTATATGTTGACTGCTAATCTGCTGTGTGCGCCAACGCATCGGGAACATATATTGAGTAAAACTGTATAAAAGAGTAAAATTTTATTAACTTATTAGATTTCTTACCTAGTATTTTAAAAGTTTTAAACTAAATAAGGTGCCTTTACCTTTATTAAGGAGGAATGGAGTTCACACAAACTCACGAACACTTCGGTAGAATTTATATGTTGACTGCTAATCTGCTGTGTGCTCCAACGCATCGGGAACATATATTGAGTAAAACTGTATAAAAGAGTAAAATTTTATAAACTATTGGGGGCTGGCAAGTGGCATGGTGGTTAAGGGCACTGGACTCCCACATGGCTGACCACAGTTCAAGTCTTGGACCTGGTGGCTTGCTTTCTCACTTCCTCTCTCTCTCTCTCTGTGTCTCTCTGATCAAACTGGAAAATAATAATGATAATAATAAAGTTAAATAAAATAATTTTTAAAAAAAATTTTATTAACTGTTAGGGTGTGGGAAAAGTCATGATACATTTTTGCATAGAAAAACAAAAAAATCCTTCATGACTTTGCTTGCAACTCTATAAATTGCTTTAAAATAATGACTGCTTAACTAAATAGTTCAGTTAGCAACCCTTGCTGAAGACATTTTGAAAATAAATCAATCTGATTTCTTGCTTTAGTACAACACAATTAGGTTCACTAGTACTTTTTGAGCTTTAGTCAAAGCATTAATTCTCTTTATTTCGGACTATAGGTAAAATTAAGAAATGAACTGTATTGAGTCGTAGCAAATGATTTCAAACAAATCCTCGTGTGCCGTTGTCCTTGCTTCGTTCTGATGTGGAGAAACACGAGAGCTACGGCTGAGGCTTTCACAGTGCTGTGGCCGTGTAGCGGCATAGAACATGCGTGTTCCAGGACCAACTGCTGTTGGTGTAATGGCTATGTCTCTGGACTGCCATGTAGTCAACTATGGTTTGAGTCCCGGATCCAGTGGCTTAAACTCACACTGGGCGCGTGTGTGTGTGTGCCCAAGATCCCAAGAGGAGAATGGAGGAGAAGGGATTGCGGCATGGCCACCCCCAGGGGGTGCTTTCTTGCTTTCTGTCTCTCTGTCTTTCTGGCAAGCGCACCCTCCCTATAGCAAAAACCTCTCCAAAAAAAAAAAAAGAAAAAAAGGGCGTGCGCATTCCCTTTTACATCACCAACAAAGCATATTTATGATTTGGAGTATGGGTTTCAGTAGATGCTTCTGCTGTTTAAAAGGTTTCCTCGGCTATAGGAGTTCTTTCTTTTTTAGATGTTATTATTCCTCTATGGAGTCATATTATCTGAATTTAAAGATGTTCTAAAAACATATTCTCCAACCCATTCGATTCAGTGTAAACCACAGGCTTTTTCCCTTCTTCCTAACATTGGACATTGAAATCCATGCAGTTCCTATGACCACAGCTGTCCTCCACAAACTGTGTTGTCATTTTTAAAAAAGTTTGTTTGTTTCTCCGGGGGGTGGGGCAACCTTGACAGAGTCATCATACCACAGTCCTCCCCGAGCTCTGCAGATAAGCCACGGTCTCAGGCACACCCAGCCTGCTCAGGTCGACCGGGACCTGAACCAGGAGCTTACCCATGTCTTCAGCCTTGTGCAACAGCACCCAACTGCCTGCACCTCCATGATTGGGCCTAATTTGTCGGTTAGTGACAGAGGATCTAATAACTATTTTAAAAGGTGATTTGCATTTAGTTTTCCCTTTGGAGAATGGTTGACATCCTTGAAAGCTGAGGCAAAGGCATCTCTTCTTTCACATGAGTTATGTTCCTTGCTCTTGGAGTTTTGACTACGTTCTCTTTAAGAGAGTGAAGTAATTTTGATTTAGTCACTAAAACAAATAACTTCAGGAGTATAAATAAGTTTGTTTAAAAAAATCTACAGAATCCATGTTGCAATTTGATTAGACTATTTTATAGAAAGCCAGAGATAAAAGATGACTTTATTTATTTATTTATATAAATATAAATATATATAGGGTGAAAGCAGGTGGCATGGTGGTTAAGGTGCTAAATTCCTACATGGCTGACCTCAGCTTGAGTCCCAGACCTGGTGGCTTGAAAATCACACTGGGGGCCTGTATGTGTGGCCAAAATCCAGAGAGGAGGATGAAAGAGGAGGGATTGCAGCATGGCCATCCCCTAGGGGTGATTTCTTACTTTGCTATAGCAAAAGTCTTTTAAAAATAAATGAGAAAATGGAGGCTTTAGATTCATAGAGTGATCAATATAAATCTTCCTTGTAACAGAAATTTCCCACTGACAACTTAAGTGAAGAAATAGAAAGTTTTTCCTTTCATCTCCTAGAATGTTTTTAGTCCTGAGTAACATCTATCATGTAAAGGTAATAGGTGGATTTTTCTATTGTTAGAGCTGATATTATTTTTGGTATGCAATCTGCTATGTCATCTTCCTGTCTTGATGAGCAGGGGATTTTATACAAGTGTGAAAATAGTGTAGCTCTCTTCATATACTGTGATAGTTCCGATTGGTCCTGAGCCACTATTTCTAGTCTGTTGTTGGAAGCTTAGGTGGGTTCCTTCTTTCAATTGACAGTAATTTACCATATATAAATAAGGAAATTTTCACATTTAGAATGAAAGCAAGAAAAAATTTATAGAAGAATCTGTTCAGACTACTTTAACATAGTGTTATAAGACAGTTATTTTATATGAGGTATAGTCGTAATGAAGATGTTACTATCTTGTTTGTAGAGAAAATTAACACGAGAATGAGTTCTAATGGATCCTTTGCTTTCAGGGAAAAAAATATTTTTCTCGTCTTCCATGTAAATAAAATATTTTTCCTTCTTCAATCTGAAGAGTTTCAGAAATTAAAAATACCCTTCAAAAAGAATGTGTAGCCCAGAGCCTCCTGTTACAGTTCATTTCTAAGTTGTGTGTATGTGTGTGTTTTAATCCACAGCTCGAAAAACGAAGAAAAAAATAAAAGGAATTCAGCAGACCACTACAGGAATCTCACAAGAAACTCCTGAAAATTCTGCTAACAAAACAATAGTTCCTGCAACATTACCACAACTCACCCCTACCCTGGTGTCACTGTTGGAAGTCATTGAGCCTGAGGTGTTATATGCAGGATACGATAGCTCGCTTCCAGATACAACCTGGAGGATCATGAGTGCACTCAACATGTTAGGTGGGCGGCAAGTGATTGCCGCTGTGAAGTGGGCAAAGGCGATACCAGGTAAGACAGATAGGATGACAGAGCCACGGTACATCTTTGTGTTCTGTCGAACAAAAACATCCTGGCTCTTTCATACTGATCTCACAGTTTATCTTAATTCTGGGACTAAGGAGACAAAAATCAGGTGAAAATGGGTGAGTAGGAAGTCTGTTCTAGAAGTTCTCCGACTATTCCCTGCTTTTTCAGATCATTATCTACAGACTAGTCATTTCAGATAGGACGATAAAATATCAGAACTAGAGTTGCAGGACTTACCCAAAATTCCTTTTACAGTGAAGTCTAGAGGAAGACACTGTATAATATTTCTGAGGATTCCATTTGTTTTTCTTCAGTGTATTGCTTTTTAAAATCACGTTGTCTGTTAAACTGGTAGACATTAGCTGTCTGACTCTGTCAAAATGTACTAATACAGAATGAATTTTTAGCTCTGCACTTAATTATTGCTACACATTGAATACAAATTTTAATCTAATTTCAAAATAATTTAAAATTAAGGCTTCTCTGTTGGGACTTAGTATGCAATAACAGAGGTTAACATCAGTGTCAACCCTGACTTCATGGATAATGGGGAATTGACCTGTTCATGTTTGCACAGATAGTTAGGAAGGAACAGAAAAGAGTGAGCAACCTGACTTTTTGCTATCCATGTTCTCACAAAGGGGAAGGACGTGACTACCCAGGCAATGTTTTAAATTTAAATTCATTGATGGAGTAACAGGCTAGGCCAAGACTCTTGACTTTCTTTAAATAGGCAAAGATGGCAAGAACTGGCTACTCTTGATATGTTACCTTACATTGAATGCTATTAAAAAGCAGGGAGAGCTTGGGTCTTAGTGTGTCAAAAGCTAAGGGAAACTGTACCCACGTAGTGTTTTACTTCCTTTATCTGTTAGGGGGTCCTTCAAAACAAGACTAATTGATTAAATTTCTCTGTGGCTGTCCCAGAGAAATGATTTCTCCTTGGCAACCAGAGTATTGTCTGTTACCTTTGTTTTTCTAATTCAGGATTCAGGAACTTGCACCTGGATGACCAAATGACCCTACTGCAGTACTCTTGGATGTTTCTCATGGCATTTGCCCTGGGGTGGAGATCATATAAACAAGCAAGTGCAAATTTGCTGTGTTTTGCTCCTGATCTGATTATTAATGAGTAAGTTGTGCGTGAGTCATTTTCCCTATATTCATGGGGCATTTTTAACCATGATGGTTTCCTGATGGACTGCTATTGTAATAACTCAGGATTGAAAAACTGAGCAGCCTTCAAATAGAGTTAGCAATGGTTACGGCAGGCCGAGTGTAAAGTAGAGCAACTGTGTGCATCTCTGGGATCACTGAGGTCTGTGGCAAGTGACAAGGAAACTTACTGTGATACCGTTTTAATTACATAACCCTCATCTAGAAAGGAAGAAGAATGATAAAACTCATGTGGACTCACTAGGGGAAATTACAGATGAGGAATCTAGGCCAAAGGATGGTAGATATGGCCCAGAGATAAGAGATAACTCTTTCCATGGCTGTCAATGTCTTTAAAAGAATATAGGAATGAATTGTTTTTAGTTTAGAGAGGACCAGTCATATTGTACCCTCTAGGCCTACCCCTCTGCTGTGAAATATTTCAATATTTCTGGTATCTATTCTCCCTTTCTTTTCTTTTCTTTTCTTTTTTTTTTTTTTTAAGAGGTTTTTGCTATAGGGCACGTGCGCTCACCAGACAGAGAGATAGAAATCGAGAAATCACCCCCTAGAGGGGATGGCCACACCACAATCCCTTCTCCTCCATTCTCCTCTCGGGATCTTAGGTACACACGCACACGTGCCTGGCGTGAGTTTTAAGCCACCGGGTCCGGGACACGAACTGCAGTCGACTACATGGGAGTCCAGCGACATAGCCATTACACTACCTGCTGGTCCCTGTTCTCCCTTTCTTCATTGTAGATGCTTCTTCAATAGTTTTCTACTTTCAGTGTATCCTCCACTGAGGCACCTAATAGTATTTTCTTCCTTACACACAGTTCTGATTGCATCCCATTTCTCTCCAACACACAGATGTGTTCAGTATTCCCTAACTGACCACCGTACTGTAAATGGGATCAAGCTTTCCAGAAGCTATTCTCACTTTCTCTCCCCTTGCTTTCCTTGACACATCTTCATTCCCAGTCAGCTGACCCATTCTTCAAACATGCCCTCAGCTCATGGCGTTCCCATCACCGGGTACAACTTCTGTGCTGAATATCCTTCACTCTTCCCACTTGATACCTGCATTACTATTTCCTCTGTCCCTAGCTTGTCTTCTCTATTAGAATGTAAATAGGGGGTTTACGTAAGTCCGAGCAGAGTAAAATATGGACATTTGTGTTTGTGTGAAGAAAATACGGTTATTTCCTAAACTGTGAACATTAGCTGCTATTGATAAGCATTCTGAAAAAAAAAAAAATTAGCTGCTATTGATAAGCATTCTGAAAAAAAAAAATCTTAAACCATTAAACACGTTAGTAGAGCAGACTGTGTGAGTAAATCTGTCATCAGCAGTAACCGACAACCTGAAATGTGTCCAGAGTGGAAAGGGGGTTAGAAATTAACACTCTTTGATGAACATGGGATGTTTGGAAGAAAGGGGGCTTGAAAGTAGTAAGGACAACCTTAAGAGATAGATTCTATTAATAGGAAGACATAGCAAACTTGCTGGGTGTGCCAGGTCTGAAATAACAGGGAGGCATTATAGAATAGCATCTATTTGAGCTGAATGTTAAGGGGGAGAGCCTGACTTATTATGCAGGAAGCTGCCGTTATTAGTTGAGACTGGGTAGTACCAGTTTCAGATATTTTTAAAAAGATTTTTAGTCAGTATACCAGAAGTGACAGGTGGTGAGGTAATTTTAAATCTAGGAAACCTCTTCTTTATGCTAATGCTAGGTAATTCCAAGGTCACATATCTTGCAGGATAAAAGAGAACTACAGAGAGTTCTAGTTTCCCCATTACTAGGCTAGCTGCATAGAAAATTAATCTAAAAATCTTTGCTGGGGCAGGACCTGTGACTTGGTGGTTAAAGAAGCCAAATTGATCCCACATAGCCAACTACAGTTCACATCCCAGTTGCAGAGGCTTGGAAAATATGCCGAGTGCATGTGTGTGTGCATGGCCAAAATCCCAACAGGATGAAAAAGGGAGGAGAAATTATTGTAGCATGACCACACCCCATTTAGGGGTGTTTTCTCCCTCCTCGTTCTGTCTCTCTCTCTGATGAGCACATATGCCCTCTGACGATTAAAAAATTCTTTTCTGAACTATTAAGTTAAATGTGGCGGTGTTTCTCTATTAAGGATGCTTCATTTCTAGCACTGTAGTCAGTGATATTTCAGTGCTTATCAAGCTCGAGGCACTATTTTAGGAGCTTGTGTTATAGTAATTGACAAAATAGATAATATTTCTGCTCACGTTCTGATGGAGAACTCAAATACATGACCAAATCATTTCTTAGAGCCTTGATACAATAGCGTGACTAAAGAAAAGGGAAGAGGGAGACAGGACATGCTAGGTTAGATTTTGTGACCGCAGAAGGCCTCTCTAAGTAGCTGAGCACTAGAAAGTATACAAGAACAAGCTGTGTGGAAGAGTAGGGCATTCATTCCAGGCAGAGAAACAGATGCAAGGATTTGAAACAAACTTGGCGTGTGTGAGGAACTGAGACAAGGCCACTGAGGATATCTAGCATGGGTTTAGAGAAGTGCACAGGTTCCAAGATAAGCATCTTTGTAGGCCATGAAATTAGGTTTAGATGATATTCTAAGAGCAAGTGGCAGCCAAAATGGATTCAAAGGGAAGAGTAAATATTCATCATAGTCTTCATATGTGCCTTATATCACAGCTGAGAACAAGACAAACAAGGTTCCTGACCTTTGATTGCTTGCGTGTTTGTGGGAGAGACTCCAATGACCACACACACACACACACACACACACACACACACA